CTATGCCTCAGTTTTCGTATCTGTGAAATGGTAACAAAACAATACTTATCTCATAGGCTTGTTGTGAAAAAAAATGCAATGAAACTTATCACATGCAATGAAACTTATCAAAATTACAACAGTACCAAGCACATTATAAGCATTACATTTTAGTTTTTTTTTTAATTACGCCACTTTAACTATATAGCTGCACATTGATAACACTTTTCAAAATCACTTCATCAACATTACCTCATTTAATTTTCACAATACTTCCATGAAATAGATGGGTATTTATATTTCACAGACTAAGCGGCTGATAGAGAACCATTAAAGGACTTGTCCAAGATTTCAAAGCTAGTTAGAAGCAGACAGAGGCAAATTAGAGAGGAAATCTCCATAGTTTTGCACTATAATTTTTTGCTTTCCCTAGCAACCAATACTCAATAAGAGGAATTGGAACTGCTGCATATCGAGGCTATAATATCAGAAATGGGATCAGTATACACAGGCTGATTAAAAATACAGGTAGAAAGAGCAATTTTATTCTAGTAAGATACTTGTTGAAAGACTAGTTTTGGTAACAGTTTAAAGATAACCACCACTTTTTTTGCAGATGATCAGAATGAAACCCTTAACACGTGTGTTAACAATGATGAGCACCAAATCCAGTATTGGGGGTCATATATCAGTTTGCCCAATATCTGTCATGGCAGTGCTACTCTGATACAGGAGCATGACTAGGCAAAGGGATGACGGCCCTGGCTACAGCGATTGGTTGAGAGAGAGACACACGTGGTCCAAACTCAGGCCAATTAATTTTTCCGCGTGACTTTTAATGGAAATATTGGAAAGGACTACCTCTCCTGTTTAGCTTTAAGCTGCTCAGAGGGGCGTGCAGTCTTGAAGCTGACAACCAACATGGAGGTAAAGGAAGATTCATTGAGAAAGTGAACCCAACAGTCATGTGGCAGCAGGGTTATAAGGGGAAGAGGACATCAATAAGGAAGTGGAAGGCAAAAATTAATCACAGTTTGTCCTAGATGTGGTTTTCAACCCTGGATTCTTAGTAGTTATCATTGGGGAGCCTCTAAATATCCCAGTGTGCAGGCCTCACCGGAGACCAGTTAAATCAGACACTTTGCTTCTGTTCACGCTCAAGTTCACACCCAGTGCACCTGACTACCAGTGGTGCCCTGAAGCCTCCTGCTTTGGTAAAGGCTCTGCTGCTAGAAGCTCTACCGGAGTTGTTCATTAACTTCTAAGAAGTGGAGTCACTAAGAAAGAAGTCAACAGAAAACTGATAAAGAGGCCGATTTTAGCAAATAGCATTGTATTGAACACATAGCGTCTTTTTAACTGCCCCTGTGAACCTTCGGAATCACCACCTGCTGCTGTTTACATATGGATAGGGGTAAGGCAATCAAAGTGGGGAATGAAAAGCCAATTAATTTAACGTTTTTAATTCCAACTTTTAAGTTGAGGGATTCATGCACAGAATATGCAGGTTTGTTACATCATTAAACATGTGCCGTGGTGGATTGCTGCACAGATTACCCCATCACTTGGGTATTAAGCCCACTATCCATTAGCTGTTCTGCCTTATGCTCTCCCTCCTTCCACCCCGACCCTCTGACAAGCCCCAGTGTGTACTGTTCTCCCCAGTGTGTCCATGAGTTCTCATCATTCAGCTCCCACTTAGAAGTGAGAACATGCCATGTTTGGTTTTCTATTTCTGCTCAGTTTGCTAAGGATAATGGCCTCCAGCGTCATTTATGTCCCTACAAAGGACATGATCTCCTTCCTTTCATACTGTTCCATGGTGTATATGTGCCACATTTTTAAAATTCAATCTATCATTGATGGGCATGTAGGTTGATTCCATGTCTTTGCTATTGTGAATAGTGCCACAGTGAGCATGTACATGCAGGTATCTTTATAATAGAATGGTTTCCATTTTTCGCCTTAGCCCCCCACTTCCTGACGGGCTCTGGTGTATGATGTGCCCCTCCCTGTGTTCCTATGTTCTCATAGTTCAACTCCCACTTATGGGTGAGAACATGCGGTGTTTTATAGCAACCGTAGTTTTCTGACTTTTTAATGATAGTCATTCTAACTGGTGTGAGATGGCATCTCATTGTGGTTTTGATTTGCATTTTTCTGATGACCAGTGATGATCAGCTTTTCTTCATGTGCTTGTTAGCCACACAAATATCTTTTGAGAAGTGTCTGTTCATATCCTTCACGTACTTATTGATCAGGTTGTTTTTTTCATGTAACTTTGTTTAGGTTCTTTGTAGATTCTGGATATTAACCCTTTGTCAAATGGGTAGATTGCAAAAATTTTCTCCCATTCGGTAGGTTGTCTGATCACTTCTATGATAGTTTCTTTTGCTGTACAGAAGCTATTTAGTTTAATTAGACCCCATGTGTCAGTTTTGGCTTTTGTTGTCATTGCTTTTGGTATTTTCATCATGAAATCTTTGCTCATGCCTATGTCCTAAATGGTATTGCCTAGGTTTTCTTCCAGGGTTTTATGGTTTTAGGTCTTATTTTTAATTCTTTAATCCATCTTGAGTCAATTTTTGTATAAGGTGTTAGGAAGGGGTCCAGTTTCAATTTTCTGCATATGGCTAGCCAGTTTTCCCAGGACCATTTATTAAATAAGAATCCTTTCCCTATTGCTTGTTTTTGTCAGGTCTGTCAAAGATCAGATGGTTGTAGATGTATGGTGTGATTTCTGAGGCCTCTGTTTTGTTCCATTGGTCTATATATCTGTTTTGGCACCAGTGCCATGCTGTGTTGGTTACTATAGCCTTGTACTATAGTTTTAAGTTAGTTAGCATAATGCCTCCAGCTTTGTTCTTTTTGCTTAGGATTGTCTTGGCTATACTAGCTCTTTTTGGTTCCATATGAAATTTAAAGTAGTTTTTTCTAATTCTGTGAAGAAAGTCAATGGTAGATTGACAGGGACAGCATTGAATCTATCAATTACTTTGGGCAGTATAGCCATTTCACAATAATGATTCTTCCTATCCATGAGCAGGGAATGTTTATCCATTTGATTGTATCCTCTCTTATTTCCTTGAGCAGTGGTTTGTAGTTCTCCTTGAAGAGGTCCTTCACATTCCTTCTAAGTTGTATTCCTAGGTATTTTACTTCCTTTCTAGCAATTGTGAATGAGAGTTCACTCATTGTTTGGCTCTCTGCTTGCCTATTGTTGGTGTATAGGAAAGCCCATGATTTTTGGACATTGATTTTGTATCCTGAGACTCTGCTGAAGTTGCTTATCAGCTTAAGGGGATTTTGGGCTGAGATGATGGGGTTTTCTAAATATACAATCATGTCATCTGCAAACAGAGACAATCTGACTTCTTGTCTTTCTACTTGAATACACTTTAATTCTTTCTCTTGCCTGATTGCCGTCGCCAGAACTTGTAATATTATGTTTAATAGGAGTGGCGAGAGAGGGCATCCTTGTCTTGTGGAGGTTTTCAAAGGGAATTCTTCTAGCTATTGACCATTCAATATGATATTGGCTGTGGGTTTGTCATAAATAGCTCTTATTATTTTGAGATATGTTGCATCAATATCTAGTTTATTGAGAGTTTTCAGCATGAAGGGGTGAATTTTATTGAATGCTTTTTCTGCATCTATTGAGATCATCATATGGTTTTTCTCATTGGTTCTGTTTATGCGGTGGATTATATTTATTGATTTGCATATGTTGAACCAGCCTTGCATCTGAGGGATGAAGCTGACTTGATTGTGGTGGATAAGCTTTTTGATGTGATGCTGGATTCAGTTTGCCAGTATGTTATTGAAGATATTTGTGTCAATGTTCCTCAGGGATATTGGCCTGAAATTTTCTTTTTTAGTTTTGTCTCTGCCATGGTTTGGTATCAGGATGATGCTGTCCTTATAAAATGAGTTAGGGATGATTTCCTATTTTTCTATTGTTTGGAAGTTTCTGAAGCAATGGTACCAACTCCTCTTTGCACCTCTGGTAGAACTCGGGTGTGAATTCACCTGGTCCTGTGCTGTTTTTGGTTGGTAGGCTAATAATTTCTGCCTCAATTTCAGAACTTGTTATTGGTCTATTCAAGGATTCAACTTCCTGGTTTAGACTTGGGAGGGTGTATTTGTCTAGGAATTTATTCATTTCTTCTAGATTTTCTAGTTTACTTCCATAGAGGTATATATAGTATTTTCTGATGGTAGCTTGTTTTGCTGAGGGATCAATGGTGATATCCCCTTTATCATTTTTTATTGTATCTATTTGATTATTCTCTCTTTTTGATTTGTCTGGCTAGGGGTCTATTTTACTGATCTTTTCAATAAACAAGCTCCTGGATTCATTGGTTTTTTTGAAGGGTTTTCATGTCTCTAGCTCCTTCGGTTCTGCTCTGGTCTTAGTTATTTCTTGTCTTCTGCTAGCTTTTGAATTTGTTTGCTCTTGCTTCTCTAGTTCTTCTAATTGTGATTTTAGAGTGTCAATTTTTTATCTTTCCTACTTTCTCCTGTCATCCTTTAGTGCTATAAATTTCCTTCTAAACTCTGCTTTAACTGTGTCCCTGAGATTCCGGTACATTCTGTCTTTGTTCTCATTGATTTAAAAGAACGTATTTAGTTCTGCCTTAATTTTGTTATTTATCCAGTAGTCATTCAGGAGCAAGTTGTTCAGTTTCCAGGTAGTTGTGCAGTTTTGCATGAGTGTTTTAATTCTAGGTTGATTGCACTATGGTCTGAGAGACTGTTTGTTATGATCTCCATTCCTTTGCATTTGCTGAGGAGTGTTTTACTTCCAATTATGTGGCCAACTTTAGAATAAATGTGATGTGGTGCTGGGAATTACGTATATTCTGTTGATTTGGGTAAGGAGTTCTGTAGATGGTTACTAGTTCCACTTGGTCCAGAGCTGAGTTCACGCCCTGAATATCCTTGTTAATTTTCTGTCTCGTTGATCTGTCTGATATTGACAGTGGGGTGTTAAAGTCTCCCACTATTATTGTGTGGGAATGTAAGTCTCTTTGTAGGTCTCTAAGAACTTGCTTTATGAGTCTGGGTGCTCCTGTATTGGGTGCACGTATATTTAGGATAGTTAGCTCTTCTTGCCGCATTGATCCTATTACCATTATGTAATGCCCTTCTTTGTCTTTTTGATCTTCTTGGTTTAAAGTCTGTTTTATCAGAGGCTAGGATTGAAACCCTGCTTTTTTTCTCTTTTTATCTTACTTTTTTTTTTTTTGCTTTCCATTTTTTTGATAAATATTCCTTCATCCATTTATTTTCCACCTATGTGTGTCTTTACACATGAGATGGGTCTCTGATTACAATACACTGATGCATCTTGACTCCTTATCCAATTTGCCAGTGTATGCCTTTTAATTGGAGCATTTAGCTCATTTACATTAAGGTTAATATTATTATGTGTGAATTTGATCCTGTCATTATGATGTTAGCTGATTATTTTGCCAGTTAGTTGATGCAGTTTCTTCATAGTGCCAGTGGTCTTTACAATTTAATATGTTTTGCAGTGGTGCTACCAGTTTTTCCTTTCCATGTTTAGTGCTTCCTTCAGGAGCTCTTGTGAGGCAGGCCTGGTGGTGACAAAATCTCTCAGCATTTGCTTTTCTGGAAAGGACTTTATTTCTCCTTCACTTATGAAGCTTAGTTTGGCCGGATATGAAATTCTGGGTTGAAAATTCTTATCTTTAAAAATGTTGAATAAAGGTCAGTTACCCACAAAGGGAAGCCCATCAGACTAACAGCAGATCTCTCAGCAGAAACCCGACAAACTTCTTTTGAGAGATCTGCTCTTTTTTCTGCTCTTTTGAGGCTTGCAGGGTTTCTGCTGAGAGATCTACTGTTAGTCTGATGGGTTTCCCTTGGTGGATAACCCGATCTTTCTCTCTGGCTGCCTTAATATTTTGTTCTTCATTTCAACCTTGGTGAATATGATGATAATGTATCTTGGGGTTGCTCTTCTCTAGGAGGTATCTTTGTGGTGTTCTCTGTATTTCCTGAATTTGAATGTTGGCCTGTCTTGATAAGTTGGGGAAGTTCTCCTGGATAATATCCTGAAGAGTGTTTTCAAACTTGGTTCCATTATCCCTGTCACTTTCAGGGACAACGATCATATGTAGGTTTGGTCTTTTCACATAATCATATATTTCTTGAAGGCTTTGTTCATTGCTTTTCATTCTTTTTCGATAATCTTGTTTTCACCATTTATTTCATTAAGTTGATTTACCATCTCTTATATCTTTTCTTCTTGATCTGTTCAGCTACTGATAATTGTATATGCTTCAGGAAGTTCTCTTGCTGTGTTTTTCAGATCCATCAGGTCATTTGTATTCTTCTCTAAACTGCTTATTCTAGTTAGCAATTCTTCTAACCTTTTTTTAAGGTTCTAAGCTTCCCTGATTGGGTTAGAACATGCTCCTATAGCTCAGAGGAGTTTGTTATTACCCACCTTCAGAAGCTTAGTTCTATCAATTTGTCAAACTCATTCTCCATCCAGTTTGTTCCCTTACTGGCAAGCAGTTGTGATCCTTTGGAGGAGAAGAGGCATTCTGGTTTTTTTAATTTTCAGCCTTTTCTTACTGGTTTTTCCTCACCTTCATGGATTTATCTACCTTTGGTCTTTGATGCTGGTGACCTTTGGATGGGGTTTCTGTGTGGATGTCCTTTCTGTTGATGTTGATGCTATTCTTTTCTGTTTGTTATTCTTTTCTAACAGTCAGGCTCCTCTTCTACAAGTCTTCTGGAGTTTGCTGGAGGTCCACTCCAGACCCTGTTTGCTGGGGTATCACCAGGGGAGGCTGCAGAACAGCAAAGATTGCTGCCTGTTCCTTCCTCTAGAAGCTTCATCCCAGAGGGTCACCTGCCATATGCCAGCTGAAGCTCTCCCATATGAGGTGTCTGTCCACCTCTGCTGGAAGGTGTCTCCCTGTCAGGAGGCACAGGGCTTAGGGACCCACTTGAGGAGGCAGTCTGTCCCTTAGCAGAACTCAAATGGTGTGCTGGGAGATCTGCTGCTCTCTTCAGAGCCAGCAGGCAGGAACATTTAAGTCTGCTGAAGCTGCACCCACAGCAGCCCCTTCTACCAGGTGCTCTGTCCCAAAGAGATGGGAGTTTTATCTATAAACTCCTGACTGGAGCTGCTGCCTTTCTTTCAGAGCTGCCCTGCACAGAGAGGAGGAATCTAGAGAGGCAGTCTGGCTATAGCAGCTTTGCCAAGCTGTGGTGGGCTCCACCCAGTTCAGACTTCCTGGCAGCTTTGTTTACACTCAGTTGGAAATGCAGAAATCACCTGCCTTCTGTGTTGACCTCTCTGGGAGCTGCAGAGTGGAGCAGTTCCTATATGGCCAACTTGCCAGCCACCACCTATAACAGAATGATTTCTATTCCTTTTGATATATACCCAATAATGGGATTGCTAGGTCAAATGGTATTTGTCTCTCTAGGTCTTTGAGGAATTCCCACACTGACTTCCACAATCGTTGAACTAATTTACACTCCCACAAACAGTGTAAAAGTGTTCCCTTTTACCTTGCGAGCATCTGTTGTTTTTTGACTTTTGAATAATAGCTGTTCTCACTGGTGTGAGATGGTATCACATTGGTTTTTATTTGCATTTTTCTAATGATCAGTGATGTTGAGCTTTTTTTCATATGTTTGTTGGACACATGTATGTCTTCTTTTGAGAAGTGTCTATTCAAGTCATTTGCTCACTGTTTAATGGGGTTATTTGTTTTCTCCTTGTAAATTTGTTTAAGTTCCTTGTAGATGCTGGATATCCATACAGCTTTGTCAGATGCACAGATTGCAAAAATTTTCTCCCATTCTGTAGGTTGTCTGTTCACTCTGATGATAGTTTATTTTGCTGTGCAGGAGCTCTTTAGTTTACTTAGATCCCACTTGTCAATTTTTGCTTTTGTTTCAACTGCTTTTTGTGTCTTCATCATGAAATATTTGACTCTGTCTATGTCCTGAATGGTATTGCCTAGATTTTCTTCCAGGATGTTTATAGTTTTGAGTTTTACATTTACGTCTTTAATCTGTCTTGAGTTGATTTTTTTATGTGGTGTAAAGAAGGGCTCCAGTTTTAATTTTCTGATACAGCCTGCCAGTTCTCCCAGCACCATTTATTAAATAAGAAACCCTTTCCCCATTCCTTGTTTTGTCAGATTTGTCAAAAATCAGATGGTTGTAGGTGTGCAGACTTACTTCTGTGTTCTCTATTCTGTGCCGCTGGTCTGTTTCTGTTCTTGTACTAGTACCATGCCGTTTTGGTTACTGTAGCAGAAAGCCAATTTCAAGCCACCAACATCATATTATAAAACGCAGGTTTGGAAAGAAATGTGCAGTAGCACCTCATTATGTAGTATTGTCATCATATAGACATGATACATGTAAATAGATGCAAACACAGAGATAATGGTAAAACATAGCACAGTTATTATAAAGTGATGAGTTTTGAGTATTGCCTTTTCTATATACTGTAATTTATTCAAATATAGTTGCTCTTTAAATTATTATCAGGTCATGTCCCAATGAATCCATTTTAAATTGAAAATATCACAAGTTGAAAATGCATTTATACATCTAGTCTACCAAACATCATAGCTTATCCTAGCCTACCTTCAAGATGCTCAGAACACTCACATTAGCCCACAGTTGGGCAAAATCATCTACCAAAAAGCCTGTCTGATAATAAAGTCTTGAATATCTTATATAATTTATTGACCACTATACTGAAAGTAAAAAACAGAATGTTTGTATGGGTGCCCAAAGTACAGTTCCTACCAAATGCAAACTGCTTTCAAACCATCAGTAAGTTATATACTATCTGTATAAGTTTCTATGATATAATTTTTAATATTGGCTTTTTTTCAAAACCTGAAAAATCAAAAACTCATCTCTCACAAGTTGGTCTGAGTTATCCGTAGCATACAGTACCTTCTACAACTTTACTAATATATTCTCCTTATAAAATCAACTCACATTTTCTAAAAGGATATTTATCTAAGTTGTGGATGATCCAGCTTCACAATTTTAGTACCTTCTTCTTGCTGATCTCTGCCATTTTGGATTGGTTGTTACATGCAGATGGAGAAAAGTCAAACGGCTTTAGTTCCCAGGCTGATACATTTCCCCTTCTCTGCAAGCCCATTGCTGTCCCACCCACCCCTCACAATAAACTCTCTTTCCCAGCAAAAGTGCATAGCCTTCTGGGTTCTTTGCCTCAGTGGCTTGTATCTAATGCTCTAATGCTGACCATCCATTCACCAGCAGAATTTTTAAGGCTTCCACATTCACTAGGCGGGATACTAATTCGCCATTTGATTTGTATCACTGTGCCTCTAGCTCTAAATATTCCACAGTCATCTTTAATACTAAAAAGGCTTTGATTACTTTTGAGAACACTACCCACCCCGTCCTACCCTTTTCAAACAGCAAAGCCTAGAATTTCATTTCCTGCAAACAGGCACTCAGAAACCAGCTAGATGAATATCAAAAATGTATCCTAAATGACAAGACGCTTCCAAAGGGATCCCTCCAGTCTCAGTTACTTGTCACTTCTTTGCTTGGTTTCATATGTTAGCATTCTTTCCCAGTCTCTAGCACAAATCATAAGGACCTTAACCACTGATAACGGTCTGGAAACAGAAACTGATCATTACCGTTTTTTAAACCAACACCAAGGGTTTCCTTCCCACAAGGTCTAGGGGTCAAGTCTAACTCTTGTTTCACTTCTGCATCTTTTGGTTAATTGTTTCAATTTGTTCCATTTCCATTCACTTTATTTTGCTAAATCACAATTATTCATTACATATGTGCATCCAGGAAGTTAGGGAGAATACCCAGCTGGTATATTGGGAAGCCAAAATTTCTTTTAAGGGAAGGATTATCCTTGGCATGACTCAATAGTATCTTTTTTTCTTTTTTCTCAGTTTCAGAAGCTGCTTCTACCTAGAGTAACAGTTCTGAGAATTCACTGCATTGCACATAATCAGTGGATTCTGGAAGCAAATGGACAGAAGGAATTAAAGATTAACACAGACAGAGACCATGACATCACTACCCCATGCATGTGGCCCCAGACAGTAACTCTAATATGAGAGACATCACACAATAATTCAGAAAGTAATTCCAAGCATCTGCTTTGTGGTATTAAAAATCCAGATAAAGTTATATGTGCCCATGTCTTAGAACTTTGCACACTAGCTTTCAAAATTTATATTTAGGTTTACTAATATATAAGCATAAAATAGAGATAACATAAATGAGCAATTACTATATTCCAGGCACCACTCTAATGATTTCAAGTGCATTTTTTTTCCTCACTGAAACAACACAATACAGCTACTAGTCAGGTTATATTATCATTCCCATTTTACAGATGAGTAAACCTGAAGACAGATCTTTTTGTCCTTTTTCCATTTTACACAATGTAGGCGAGTAGATATTTCAATTAATGGCTTCCCTTTCCCCAGCACACAAGAAAGATGTGCTTTGTCTCCCCAAGACATTTATTACTAGAAGAGTAACAGTAAAACTGAGAGAGGGAAACAGAAAACCAACACGTAAAAACGGTGCAATTTTAAAAAGCAAGTTGAATTATTTGGTTGCTTATTGACTCAAAGAGACATTGGGACTTTGCCTCCTAACAAAGCCATTATAATTATTTTTACAATAGTTTCCAACCTAAATTTCTGAAATATTGCCGTTTTATTATTTACTAGGTAACATCTTGTTTGTCAAAAAGGGAGACTAATGACACCAGCTTATCTCATTATGAACAAATAGAACCCAAAATTATTAAAGTTCTTTTTAAAATAAAAAAAAATCATTGCTTTGGTAAATTTTCTTACGTAACTGTTTAACACATTTGAACTTGCATTCTGAAGGCAATCATTGGAAGCTATACGCGCTTCTGTGGTGTCTTCCTCTTCCCCTTACCTACCAGGTGCTCTTTGGCTCTGCTTATTGTTCTGTGTTCCAGAACAGTTATCGTTGAATCCCTCCCATCTAACAAAATGTTGCTCCATGCTTATTACTTAAAAATGTTCAAATGATTAATAAATGAAGAAATAAATGAACGGAGCAGTCTTTTTTTTTAAAGGTGATGAGGATATGGGAAAATAATTTTTAAAAACTCCTTTTAAATGAAACTGATTGAAACATAGCCGAGTTCTCCAAGCTCTAAGTTAGTTAGGTTTGCTGGTTTTAATTCCTGTCTCCTCCAGAGTATCATATCTAGCTTTACTCTGGACCTTTCTTGAGAAACTGAGATCAAATTTAAAGTCTTCCTTGGAACCAATAAAACAAAATTACTTGTGTTACATGTGCCATCTCCTACCTCCCTTTAAAATAACACCCATGCAAACACAGTGACACACATACTCTCATATATACTCATGCACAAATACTATCTCTATCATGTTTTAGTATGGCTATTTGTGCATGGGGTCCCTTAGTTCCTTGCAAGCAATGACCACATGTTTTCTCACTCAGTAAAGCATGTGTGTTTTTGCTGATAGATATTTAAAGCCCATTCTGGTGTATAAGCTTCTCTGGACCATCAAGTATTTGCTTTTGCTTTTTCAAAACCAAGAATTTCCCAAGCTCACTGACAAAGCTAATCAAATGTCTGTTTCTGTTTCAAAGATGAGCTATTCAAACTTACTGACTTGTACCTGCCTTCTCTCTGCCTCTCCCCTATCCCTATGTCATCCAAGTAAAACCTACCAATCTTAAAACATTTAAGCATGTTGAAATGATTCTTAGGTTGGGTGGCAGGAACCAAAGGTATGAATGAACAGCTTTGTCAGAGAAAATACTTCCCACTCCGTGAACAAAACCACTTCATTTTTACAAGGAATCTTTAACATAGCCTTTTGGGAATTCTGACCCAGCTCATTGCTGGAGCACTGAACGAACAAAGATCACTTTAAAAGAAAATCGTGAAAATGGCATCAGCAATCATGACATTCAGACATTTTTGTACCTCTCTTTTAAAATGTCAGCTCTTCCAGGCAGCTGGGTCCAGCCATTGGAGTTAAGAAACATTACTATTTGTGAATCTCCCTAGCCTCTGCCATGTAGGGAGACTTCAAACAGCCATCAGTAAACAGCATTCTCAACACTCCAGACCAGCCTGAATTCTAATCAAGGTCTTTTAAATGCCATTGAACAAATCTATATACTATGGATTGTTTCCTGTTTGCCTCTGGCCAAATGCTATTCACTGGGTCATTTATTATTTTTAGAAAACCAAAACAATCCACACTAATAGTATAAATTACAGCGCATCTAGAAGCAGGGTCCAAGCAATCTTGTTGATTTAATACTAGAACTTAAAGAAGCTTTTAATTATTCCTCCTCTGGTGATTTATTAGACACTTGGAATCTAAGAGTCTCACAAGTGGAGGAGCCAGGTTTATACCAGAATTAACCAATATAAAGGGTCTGATCTAAATATGCCTTAAAAGCCAAGTACTAAATCTAAAGGGTGTGCATAGTTGAGTCTAAAAAGAACTAAAACATAGAAATTAAAAGTTCCACAGATTATCAGAAGCAATAAATTTACCAAGAGCCAGAACTCCCAAAACAAGTTATCTAACATGAAAATGGATGGACAACCTGAACAGCAATCTCTGTAAAGCGTTCACATAAATTTTCAGACATGAGATCCAAGATATTATGACTATATCTCAAGTAGGTTCACAGGTTCAACAAAGTCCAATTAGAAGCAATAAATGACAACATAGTTCACTTGTTCTCTTGAGAAAAGTCGCTCAGGAAAGTGATAGAGAAAAGAGCAGACAACTGGATTGTTTAAATTCTTTACGTGTATAGACAAGTCAATTAAAAAAGACCTCTCAGAACACCTGTCATGAGGCCGGTCTGTCCATCATCCCTGAATGTATGAAAGGAAAAACCACAAAGTCATTTCTTTGGGTTATTTGTTAGAAAGACATGATTTTAAACTCAAAATAACACCTGAAAAGAAAAGCTGGTGTCTGTATTATATCTTCAGATTAACTAAGCCAGAGTCTTGGAGGTTTGAAATTGAAGTCTCAGACAAAGATGCTTCTTTACTAAGAAAACTTATCACTGTTAAATCAGGGTAGAATTGGAGAGGGCAGATAACTTTAAAAGTCCTATCCCCAGTTTGGGATCTCTTTACTGGAAAACATTTTGGCTCCATTCATTTCTAGGATCAATAATCTATTCCACATTAGTTCCCCACATTTCTTTCTCTTAGTCCGTTAGCTCTGGACTGTGAATCATTTTCCCACCTGTGTTACCTATAGTCTCTCTTTCCTTGATGTTACTCTAGCCATCACCAAGACTAGCTGAAAGGAAACTTCAGCAGTTCCCTTAATTGGCAGAACTTTTCCTTCATTGTTCTCTCCCCAATCCGCACCCTCACTCAGTTTTTATGCGTGTGTGTGTGTGTGTGTTTGTGCACGCATGCGCACGTGCACACGTGAGTGAAGGCGCGATTATCTGAGGATCTGAGTTGGGAACACTGGTTTAAGAAATTTCCTTTAAATTACTATTAAGTTGGTGCACAAGTAACTGCAGTTTTTGCCATTGAAAGTAATGGCAAAAAATGCAATTGCTTTTCCACCAACCTAATATAAACATTTGTGAGCTTTTTTAATTTTTGTTTTATTTCAGGCATACATGTACCAATTTATTATATAGGTAAGCTTGTGTCTGGGGATTTGTTGTACAGATTATTTCATCATCCAGGTATTAAGCCTAGTACTCATTATTTATTTATCCTGATCCTCTCCCTCCTTTGACCCTCCACCCTCAATGTTATTCCCCTCCATGTGTCTTTGTGTTCTCATCATTTAGCTTCCACTTATACGTGAGAACATATGGCATGTGGTTTGCTGTTCCTGCATTAGTTTGCTGAGAATAACAGCTTCAGCTCTATCCATGTTCCTGCAAAGGACATGATCTTGTTCTTTTTTTATGCCTGCATAGTATTCCATGATGTATGTGTACCACATATTCTTTATCTAGTCTACGTTGATGAGGATTTAGGTTGATTCTATGTCTTTGCTATTGTGAAATGTGTACTGATTTACATTCCTTTGGGTATATACTCAGTAATGGGATTGCTCAGTCGAATGGCATTTCTGTTTTCAGGTATTTGAGGGATCACTACACTGTTTTCCACAAAGACTGAACTAATTTACATTCCCAGCAATAGTGTATAGGCATTCTTTTTTCTCTATAAATATTTGTGAGACTTTTTAAAAGACCCATACAAATTGAGACTGTCACAGACTCAAAAAAAAATCTAAAAAATCTCATTTTTATTTATTCTATTGAAACTTAAAGTTAAGGCCTTTTTTAAAATAATAGCTCCTGGTGAACTCTCACTTTTCAGTAGTGATGTGAAAGACAGCTCAGACTGAAGCCTTTTAGAATTCAGGAATTCATTCAACAAATATTTATTGAATACCAACCAAATGCCACTAGATACCTAGATGCTAGGCGCTGGGGATAACGTGATGACAAATTTTCTACCCAGCAACACTCCAATAAACATAGATCAACCTGCTTCACTTTCAGTCTTCCACATCTCAGTAAGGACAATTTCATCTTCCCAGGTGATCAGGCTAAGTACTAATAGGATTTCCTAGTTCACAGAGCCGCATCAGCTTTACTCCACAGACCTTGATGGTCTTTTCCACCAAATAATGCAATGTTAGACCCACTTTTAACTTCTATTGGTAAGCTATTTCAGGCTGAAACTTCTCTATTTTGATAGAAAGTCAACTAAATTGATGGACACATAAGTATTCCAAATCTATATACAAGGAGACATTTTACAATTATCTGACTACTAATGCATGATTTGAAGAGGTAGTTACAGTTTCAATGAGTTCTGTGTGCAAACTGGTCTATATGTATAAAAGAAAGTTGTGGCAATGTTTCACTTAGTTCTATCCAATTTGAAATCTTAATTTTTTTCTTATGGATGTTTGAACATATTCTTATTAATTTTGTTTTCATCTATTGGCTTAGAAAAGAGGAAGAAAGCATAATAAAATAAAGAGCACGATTGTCCTTCCTGATTAGTAATAATCTAGTTGCAGAGAAAGGGCATTACTGTCTTATTTTTCTAACTTCATCAAAATAGTGGATTAAGCATAGGGGAATATTATTTGCCTTTTTTAAAAAAAATCAACTTTATATTTTCTTCTAAGAGTGACAGATATTCTTTACAGGAAAAAATAGACACTACAGAAAGTCAGAAATAAACAATAGGCAATTATATTCCTGTAAGCAAATACAAACATTATTTTAAAAGTAATACATTTTTGAGCATTATGCTTTGTTTGTAAATAATATATTATGTATTGCATGTTTCTGATTATAAATATAAGTTAACTACCAATTTGAAATATCGAGAGTTGTATTAAAAATATCTGGGATTATACCAATGCTTTTGTGCTGGCATGTTTCCTTTCAATATGATACTAAATGTTTTTTACTGCTTGTCTCAGTCTCTGTCTTTCTCTCTCTCACTCACAAATACAGACACTCACATTGTATGTTGGTTTTTTAATATATCTCAATTGTTTTTCAGGTTATTAAAAACATTTTTGAATATAAGTTTTAGCAGAGATATAATATTCATATAGATTTAAAATAGCTGAATGCTTCCATATTATTTGAATTAGGTAAAATCATTTTTCTATTATAATAAAATGAACATTAATTTTTCTTTAATTCGCATTGCCATTTATTCACACAATGAAAAAACCTACCAAAATTTTAAGCACGTTCAATTCTCTCCATAAATCCTATATATTCAACTCAGAAGTGTTTACACAATTTTCGCTAGACATTATATACAAATTAGTAGTCTTTTTTCTTTTTAATTCTTTCCTGTGTTACCAAATACCATTTTGTGTTCTATATAACATTTTTCCCATTATTAGACAACTAGGTTGCTGATCGGCCTTTATAATTATTTTGATTACTTGATCAAGGACCTAAGTTTGTTTTATAGTTCTCAAACTGATCAATCGACATCTATGTGTCTGGGTCATGTCTGCATGCCACTGACTCTCACTTAACCAAGTAATCCTATTTTTAAATTATTATATATCCTATTTGCAACGCAAACTCCACAAATTATTTTAGGCACTTTATATGAAAAAAATAAACTTGACTCTAGTTACGTATTTATAAAGAAGGATTTTTTTTTTATCTGTTCCAAATTTATATGCATACCACAGTGTGGAATATTTTTAAAGCTGAAGGTTGGTTCAACTCTTACTTCATATCCTCTCTGCTAAAATTATATTATGTGACTTTTTTTTCCTTCAATCAAAATAATAAGAGCAAATGAGTAAAATTATTTAAGTCAAATATGAGATTTCAAGAGAATACTCAGTAAACTGGTGAGAACCTGCCAGACTCACAAACGTTAAGGAGGCAGTGTTCGAAAACTGGAAAAAAGAAAAGTCGGTGTAAATGTTAGGTTCAAGAAGTTTCAAAATAAAATATAGGGAACTAGTAAGAAAAACTGGCAGCCACATTAAGGTGATTTATTTTTGCACTCAGGAACAGAGGAAATACAGTAGACAATTGAATGTACCTAATGACAAAAGTGAAGGAGGGTGATTTGAAGAAGGCCAGGGCAATAGACGTTGCATCCACAGGAGAACTTAAGGACTAGCAGAGATGCCTACAAGAACAAAGGTGATCGTTTATAAGAATACATAGAGATTTAACACAAAGAATACCGTCTTGTTTTCTCATGTTCATTGTAATTAGAAGTAAAACTTTTTCAAATTTTGGCCTAGAAGATTCAGATGTTGATCACCATTGTAAGAAAGTAAAGCTGTACTGTTTTCCTTTACTTCTCTGATACGAAGAGAGAAAATAACACATGCTAACATTATGAATGATAGAAAAATGTTTTTTTCACTGAATTTCTTAAATTGAATGGCAATATCGAAAAATATTAAAGAATATATACAATATCTATCTCTTTATTATACTTTAAGTTCTGGGGTACATGTGCAGCTTGGGGAGGATGGTTACACAGGTATACAGATGCCATGGTGGTTTGCTGCATCCATCCCCCCGTCATCTACATTAGGTATTTCTCCTAATGTTATCCCATCCCAATCCCCCAGCCCCCTGCTACCCCTCCCCTATCTCTTCTAATTCTCTTTGATATCTTTACTTTTAAAAGACACAGCTTAATGATAAGTCTAAGCATTATTGCTGTCTGAAGTCTTCCCCGCAAATATTGTTACACTTAAAAAATTTCCATTTGGTGCAGCCAAGGCCTCTTCCAAAATCTATGTGAAAATTATAATTTTAGGCAATAGTTTCCACACATAAAAATAGGTACCATTGAATAATCTTGATGTCGATGTTAGTGGAGCCTGTAGTCACAACCTAAGAGAAAATATCAAAAATCATTTTATACAATCTTCCATTTTGACCCTTGTGAAGTTTATTTTTATTAGGCCTTTTCACTTAGCTCTTAGGAACTAAGAAAAAGGACTATGTAGAGCTATTTCAACTTAAACTGTACAAATTATTTTAGGCATCAGTGACTCCACGAACTCATTACGCTGGCAAAACTTTGGAGGAAGGAATTGGTCAGCCATCTCAATACTTCAAGCTATAAGAAAATGGAAAAGGCATAAAAGGATATACACCTGAAACTTAAAAAGCCTGTGTACAGAGAAGTTTAATTTATTATTCTAATGACTTTCACAGCATGAGACTCTCGCCAGGAAACACACATCTATGCATCTAATAAGGCTGCCGAGACTGGTCTCCTCCTGAAGGATTCTCATGGCTGTGGCCAAAGCATCCTTTTATAGATGGGAAAATGCACAGTATGTGAAAAAGGCTCAAGACTGATGCTACCTATGCTGTTTTGCTGCAAGTTACCTTCATATCTATTCCTCAGAAATAAAGCCAACTTTAGCCAGCAAGCTTTAATTAATATATTTAGGTTCTTTTATTGAATACGTATTCATACGTTGCTGTGGAAGCATGAGAATACCTAGATAAGACATATTGTGTTTAGGATAAAACCTCTGGAATTCTCTGCTTAGTTATAAAATATAGCCAGGGTCTGCCATAATTAGGTCCTCTGCCAATGTTTGTTCTCTCCGCTTTATCACCCTTCCCTGAATCTTCCTTATTCTCTGCTAATGTTTTTATGCAATTGTAAATGTTTATGAATATATGCCTATCAATTGATTTTTATATAACATATCATTCTAAATGCATTTTTACAGAATTGTTTTTGATTAATGATATATCTGAGATTGTTCAATGTCTTATATGCATCTGCTATACTTAATCACCCCTCCCCCTCATTTGGGGCACTTAGTGGTTCCAACGTGTCTGCAATAAACATTCCTGTACCTAGATCATTCCAATTCCTAGAAGTAGAAATATTGGCCCTAAGATATATGAATTTAAAAATCTGATGGATATTCCCAAGTGGTAACACAAAATTTTTTCTATATTATACTTAATAGTATCTGGGAATAACTGTTTCTGCTCATTTTTGCCACATTAAATGATATGTTTTAAATTTCCATTCATTTAATAGCAAAAAATATTTATTTTTAACGATTTTAAAAATATTTGTTGTGTTTAACTGTTAAACTCTTGTTTTAACTGTGATCTCAGTGACTTTTGTTCTATTAAAGAAGTATTCATGACTGTCCTAACCATTCTTGCAAATATGCATATGAAAATAGCATGGCCACTGTCATTGTTAAGTCAGTCAATTTTTCTCAAGGGCTGTGTTGCTTTAAAAAGTTAGTAGTGTCTACACGTGCGTAGGCTTGGTCTGAGGAATGGTTAAGACAATCATCAATACTTATTTAATAGAATGAAAGTCACTAAAATCGCATTTTGGCTAGTTTAAGCAAGTGGAGGGAGGTTAACTAGGCTCTCTGAAAATAAAATCTACTACTATTAATTAATAACAACTACTATTAATAGTAGTTGTAGTATTATTAATTAATAACTACTACTATTATTAAAACAACAGCTTTTGTTGTTGTTGTTTATGAGATAGAGTCTTACTCTGTCAACCAGGCTGGACTGCAGCGGCGTAATTTTGGCTCACCACAGCCTCCACCTCCAAGGTTCAGGTGATTCTCATGCCTCAGCCTCCTAAGTAGCTGGGACTCCAGGTGCGTGCAACCACACCTGGCTAATTATTTATGTTTTTAGTAGAGATGGGGTTTCATCATGTTGGCCAGGCTGGTCTCAAACTCCTGACCTCAGGTGATCTGCCTGCCTCGGCCTCCCAAAGTGCTGGGATTACAAGTGTGAGCCACCATGCCTGGCCAACAGTTGTTTTGAGCATCAATTGACTTTCTGGTAAAGTATAAATATTTTCACTACACAGTGAAGCCTTCATCATCCTTTTTACATTTTGATGACTGATAAATTTCTGGGTTAGAGACTCTCTGTAGGTATTATATTTCATAATAATCAGATCTTGCTGATCTCTTCATGAATATTTGTAGTAAAGACACTGGGTCACAAAGTAGACAAACAAAAATAAGGGACAATCTAGTCTCAAATCTTCCCAGAAATATTTCGGCCCAAATGCATTATAAATTAAATGTACTGCATCCCACTCTTTCTGAATTACATACTCAGTCTCCTGAAGGATTATAATAAGGCGCTCCTCAGATTTAGGCCAAAGCATGAAGAGAGGCCAAGTTCACCTAAAAAGGCCTTGAGATAAGCAAAAAGAAAAAAAAAATTAGACACTGAACCCATTATCAGATATTTGGGATGTACTTGCATGTAGCTCGTGAGGCCAACCTTAAGCATAGATAAGAGAGATGAAAAATTTCTAGTTGACCCAAAATGTCAAAAGCAAGGGAATCATTTATTTCTTTGTACACAGCAAGATCATACATAGATAGATAGATAGATAGATAAATAGATAGATAGATAGACAGACAGACAGACAGACAGATAGGTATGTTGGAATAATATCCCAAATGGGATGCTACCAAAAGTACTAAAGAACAGCAATACACGCTGGGCAAGGTGGCTCATGCCTGTAATCCCAGTACTTTGGGAAGCTGAGGAAGGAAGAACATGAGGTCAGGCAATAGAGACCATCCTGGCTAACACAGAGAAATCCTGTTTTCTACTAAAAATACAAAAAATTAGCTGGTAATGGTGGCAGGCGCCTACAGTCCCAGCTACTTGGGAGACTAAGGCAGGAGAGGAGGCTGAGGTTGCAGTGAGCTGAGATTGTACCACTGAACTCCAACCTGGGCAACAGAGCGAGACTCCATTTCAAAATAAATAAATAGATAAAGACTAGCAGTATAATGGAGTTTACTTTTACCAGGGAGTAGATTCTAGGTCAGTGTTAATTAGCTAAAGTATAATAAAAATTCACCTAAAAATACCTTACAATACCTTAATCGATTTGTGCAGTACACTATACATGGTTCAACCTAAAAAGGAAGCTGCAGAATTATGGAAGAAACCATATAGGTTAAAGCTGTGATTGTACCCACTATTTCACTATTCTTCCCATTCTAAACCGGACATTTTTGTTTATATG